TCTCTCTCTCTCTCTCTCTCTCTCTCTCTCTCTCTCTCTCTCTCTCTCTCTCTCTCTCTCTCTCTCTCTCTCTCTGTCTCTGTCTCTGTCTCTTTCTGTCGACATATCGCCACGAGCAAAGGCGATATGCACCACTTTGTTTGTTTTACCACGTATTTTGTCTATAATTATGCTCATTCTGTAAATGACAGCTTCCTGGTTTCCTTTCTGGTGGATGCACGAGGTGGTGCGATGCGTGGCTGCCGACACAGCGGTGTACGCGTGATCGTCCCACCAAGAAAAGCTGCAATGCCTATGCGAGTCACCTGCAGATACCTGAGAAGGGACAAACTGACGAACCCACCGCCTTTGATGGAAGGAGAAGCTCTTGCCAGTCGTATTCTCGAACTAGGACCCGTGGGTGCCAAGTTCTTAGGGTTAGTTGTGGGATATATATTTCAAAGCCGAGACTGAAAACCGAAATATTTGGAGATTTAGGTATTATACCCAGAGACTGAAACCAAAATATTGTGACGTTTGGGTATTTGTTCCCATATTATCGTAATATAACCGCTATTTGGGAAATCGGTTTTAATACCGGTATATAAGACGGTCATACAGGTATTTTCATACGTATTTTATCAATATTTGATGTCCACAATGGTAAAAATACCGAAATATATACCGGTACGGTACCGCTTTACTGACGAAAATACATTTTTCATTTTCTACGTACAGTGATTCTTATTAATATTCGGACATCGTTCTATTCAAAATATTATTGTGGATTTCGATTGTTTATAATAGTAAATTTGGATTAATTTTTTAATAATATAATAGAACATTCATTATAGTTTATGGTAACATAAATTTTATTTATTTATTGCACATACTTTTCTTAATGTCAAACAATAAACTGAACTATATCGAAACGTAGCGTGGCAAAAATATTTGGACATTTGAGGAACTACAATATTTGAACCTGAAAATTGTTAACATAAATAATAATTAATATTTTGTTGGGTAGCTTTTAACTTCAATAATATATCGCAGACGCTTAGGCACATTTCCAGTATTTTTTTTTTAAGTAATTTAGCGAAATATTCTTCCATTCTACGATTAATCGTTGTTTCAACTGCTCTTTCGATTTATCGACACGACAATTAGTCATTTTTCACCGAGAAAAAGGGGAAACGTATCGAGAAATCGGTCATCTTTTAAAATTAAATAAGAGTATCGTGGCTGATATTGTATGGAGATACAACGATGAATTAGTATTAGAGATAATAAAGGATACGTGCATAAGCGTCATCAAATTTACTATCGGCAGCTTTATGAAAACATTTAATCATTGTCTCCTTTTCCTTTTCTAATATATTAAAATTTTATTTACCTGTATTATACCGAAATACATCTACCGACCCAACATCGTTTTGACAGCATCATACCGGTATTCGCACCATTTTGGTTTCATCAAACGTAATCGAATAGTAACTTAAAAATACCGGTATTTTACCGATATATATATATATATATATTATATATTTAACACCGATTCGGTCTCTGTTTCAAAGTATTGTATTCAATGCCTCTTTACAAAATATTTTGGAAGCAGCATGCGACAACAAGAACCTTCTTGATAGATTTCAGATATAACGATACAACTTATATACAGTCGTTTGTTAAACAAGTTTCTTCCAATTTGAGATTTCTTAATATCTCCAGACTGATCTAAGTTCTATGGTCTGATTCGTCGTAAAGATACAACGTTGGCACGTGCACAAAGAGATTCGAGATACTAATCTTTGCTGACCCACATTCGTTTCTTATTGCATTCGCTGAAAGACGTGTGCAGCTTAGCGTGCAAACTTAATGCTCGTGATACACGTGGTAATTTCTTTTTTCAAACAGGCCCGTCATTATAGAAGTGCCGCATTTTGCTTCGTTGCGAGGCAAGGAACGAGAAATAGTAATACTTCGATCGGACAATGGAGAAACTTGGCGTGAGCACACCTTGGAAGCCAGCGAGGAGGCTGTCCAAGATGTGCTTAACGAGAGCTTTGAAGGAGAAGGTACGGTAACATTTTCTCATCGTCGTGCAGAAAACACTCGAATTCCTCACGAATAAACACACACGTAACAAACGTTTTATTATAGAATTAAGCCAACTCGAGGATCTCCAGACTTCGCGAATCGTAAGGATACTCACCGCAGACTTCCCACATTACTTCGCAGTAGTGTCACGCATCAGGCAAGAGGTTCACGCGGTTGGTCCAGAAGGTGGTACAGTTTCTTCGTCGGCGGTGCCACAAGTTCAAGCTGTTTTCCCACCAGCAGCTCTCACTAAAAAGATTCGTGTCGGGCTCCAGGTGCTTATTGCATGCCAGTATATTTCGTTAGAAATGAAATTAACACAAAAGAGAGAGGAGAAAAGCGATATAGCGATATAAAAATCTCGGGATAAAACAATTATCCACACGAATGAAGCGTCATCTCGAGGTAACGTAATTAACAAATAACAAACTGAAAGAAAACGACTTGTTACTGTCCAGGCACATCCGATACCAGCGGATCTTGTGGCCAAGCTACTTGGTAACAGAGTAGCGGTATCGCCGATCGTAACCGTCGAGCCAAGGCGAAGAAAATTCCACAAACCGATAACCTTAACCATACCGGTGCCGCAGGCAGCCAACAAAGGCATGATCAATCAATATTCAGGAGACGCGCCAACGTTGAGACTTCTGTGCAGCATAACTGGTAATATATGCTTGCACGTAACATTGTAGCGCAGCGTACCGTCTTACTGGAGAATCTCTTACCGATAAGTGCTGAAACTGTTACGCCGCAACACCTTTGGTGTATATACATATATATATATATCTATATATGCTCTTATATATCAGACTTCTTACGCATTCGAAGATCAATTTGTAGTTTAGTAGGCATGGCGCGGAGGCGGTAGGCATCTTCGTCTGTTCTCAGGTCATCGGGACTATTAACGATAATCTCACGTATCTTTGTGTCTCGTTGGAATATATTTGTTCTATTGTTACCGATCTCGTAGGTGTGCAATGTAAGACGTAGGTTGTCGAGCCTAAGGTTTTGTTTGCCTTTTAGGAGGCTGTACTACGTATGTTGTTTAGGAGATTGATTTAACACTAACAGTTACAAGTACGTAATACGTCCCGGAGACCTTCGGATAGAGATTTAAAAGGGAGATGGTAGCTGCATGTTTCATAGAAACATTTCGTTGAAGTACCATTGTTGTATACATATCTTGTTGTGATTCATTGTTAATGCTTGCATATTGTTAGGATTGAGTCATTTAGGTATGGATTATTAATTAACGTAGATAAAACTTTACTACCTAGCTCATTGTAAGCGTTAACTTCAAAGTTTTTGTTTCAGCACATTCGTTTGACTGGTAACCGCTTCGATATTAGACTTGTAATTTATATAAATTCTATAAAATTGTGTTCCCGAGATATATGTACTTTTAGATCATTATGATATGTATCATACGACACGTTACCGATACAAAGACTGACAATGATTGCCCTTTTAACCATTAACCGTTTGTTACAACCACACTGTACTTATTTTATTTAACGAAGTCTTTTCGAGTGCAAACTTTGCTTCCCTGTTACTATACTTTCGACAAAATTCTCGTTTCCATTTAGTTGACCAATATCCAGATTGTCGGTTGATATTTCAAAAGCATTTAACATATATTTTATACGACCAAAAGAACAGGAAGATATGTTTCCGACATGTATTCCGCCGCGTTTTCTTTTCCTTCTTTTGTTTTGTTTAATTAATATTATTTCACACGTTTTCGTTTGTTCTTATCGCTTGTTTATTATCAAACGCATATTCACACGACTCGCGTTTGCTTTCTGCGCGGTTTTCAATGTATGACGCTTTATTTTCATTTAGCAAGCATTATCATTCGGTCAGCGCGTATTTGATTTTTACATTACCCACACACACGACACAGCACGTACATCAACGCACTTATTGGCGACCGATATTAAATACAAATTTCACTGATTCCGATTCGTTGTACGACTGAAAGAGAAAGCTACAGATCGACATGTTTTGTTTCAGCCTTCTCTTTCCTGCTCATTGTATTTAAATATGTAAATCATCCGTGCTTTGAAAAGTGAAGAAATTTGTTGGAATATTTGTAAATTAACACGAAACGAATTAATTTAAGGTTCCTTAGTTTTGTACGATTTCTTTTTACACAATATTTCCTAGCGATCAAATGCTCTTTATTACGACGATATTAATGAGCATATTCGCGTTTCTTGATACTTTAAGCCCGGTATCGGTGTCACGATAATCAAATTTATGGAAGGAATTCGAGATTATCACTTGCCCCAATTATAACTTAAATGAACATTGACACAGAAAGCAAGAATGGCTTTAACTGTGCTAGAATTTCTACGCGAATTGAACGAGCCCTTCGGTTGTATTATTTTTTTTTTTTTCTTTCTTTCTTTCTTTACAACAGCTTCTGCTAATTACTCATTTCAATGTTTAATTATCCTTTGTCCACATTACGAAATTACAACAAGGCGAATATCCCGGGCTGAAAGCGTCAAATTGTAATTAATCTCGGTCGCATCTCGGATTTATAATATCCCACACATATCACTTCTGCCGATTCTCCATCCGCAGCACGGACATATTTTAATAATGTTATTGGACTTGGTATGTATGTCGTTCAGGGGGTCAGTCTCGGGCAGTCTGGGAGGATGTCACCGGTTCGACGCCATTGACGTTCGTGAAAGATTGCGTTTCCTTTACTACCACGGTATCTGCTCGCTTCTGGTTAATGGATTGTCGGAATATCTCCGAAGCCACGAAAATGGCTACGGAGTTATACACACACGCGACACATGTACCTTTCATGGCTAAGTACGTTTCTGACATACCTAATGATCGATCGATTCGAAAATTTCACGAATAATCGTAATCGTAATCGCAGGTAGAACATCTCTCCTAAAAAGTCGGATATTGTTTGAAACGTTTACGGTTCTTTTCTCTGTGACGGGGTAAGACGAATAAAGGAGAGAGAAAGAGAGAGAGAAAGAGAGCTGTTATCTTAGCTTATCATTAGTGTATCATAGAAATGTCATTTTTCATTTTTCACATCACACGTACTATGTTCCTTTCAAACATTCTCGATTTTCTATCGTAGAAGGAGAGTTTTAGACTTCTTTTTTTTTTTTTTGTAAAATATACGGGATAGAAGGATAGCGTTTTTCGATCAGCGCAAAAATACAACAAATCGATCACGTTTTACCTGCATGATTACAATCTTTGGCTGAAAGATCGGGAAATCGTTATCGGCTGTCTGTTTCGCCTTCAGATTCGTAGTATTTGCAAAGCGAGTAGATCCACTGGAGGCGAGGCTGCGTGTATTTTGCATGACCGACGACAAGGAAGACAAGACTCTGGAAAATCAGGAGCACTTCACGGAAGTAGCAAAGAGCCGAGACGTCGAGGTAAGTGAATCGAGCCGGATGAATCGTTTCCCACGTAATCGTCGCATTGTTGCGCCTGTTAATCGCCTGTGGAATCGTTTCCCACAGGTGTTGGAAGGTAAAACGCAGTACATGGAGTTTTCGGGTAACCTTGTGCCAGTGTTGAAGAGCGGCGAGCAGCTTCAATTGCCGTTCAGAGCCTTCAAGGAGAATCGAGTTCCGTTCACGGCGAGAATCAAGGACCCGGACGCTGCGGACATGATGGGCCGCATAATGTTCATGAGCGAGCCGAAGGTACCCAAGGGCGAGCTGCCGCAGACGCCTATATGCACGCTGAATATTTTATTGCCGGAGAAGATCTCTCCAGAGCCGGCTGCCTCGGAGGTCGACCTGCTCGAGCTCTCGAAGAACTATAGTTTTCTACGCGACGGCGGCATAAGTACGTGCGAATTTCTCACGTAAGAAATCCTACGAGCCGATTGAGAATAATAACACATAATTGTTCGTGTTGTGCCCGCAGGTCGTCCAGACGCTATTCACAGAGCGACTATTCGATTGACCGACATTGCGAATCTGTTGGACAAAGACTGGGAGAAACTCGCGGAGGAATTAAATATCCCGCCGAACGAGGTGTCGACGATTAAGCAAGAGTATGCTAACAAGCCAGCTCAGCAGGCTGCAGCGATGCTCAAAGTTTGGCAGAACAATGGAAACAAAGCTACAGGTAGGTTTTGTGAATGTTATATAAATGTTAAATCCAATTATAATATCTTGATATTATCTGATTTCCTTTTTGATGTCGGCGTGAGTTAATGGCGCCGTGTGTAATTAAGGCTACAGCAAACAGATATTAACAATTTCAAAGTTTATTTAGAATTGAATATTGATAATACAACTATATTGATAATACTCGGTAGTCTGGCTCATTACCATCGGCAAATATTTACTTTGATGTTTCAATAGACTTTGAATATTTGTTGACGAAATGGACAATTTAAATTGTGCGCACGATGGGATTTATAATTCAAGACGATCGTTCGCATTTAAGCTTGATTAATCGAGCAATGACGAAGTACATAATGATTATTATTGGTGGGGAGTATTATTAGCAATGGATACTATCGATATCCATTATTTCATCTTTATAAATACATTCGTAGTTCACAGTTCAGTTCTTGGAGCTCTAATCATTCACTCGTTTTCTTTTTGCATTTAATAAGCCGTATGTATAACTTTCCGATGATTAATTAATTTCTACTTTTCTCATTCCTATTTCTTATATCTTACGCATTACGTATTAATTACAAACGACGTGGTATTTTTGTACATTGTGCAATTTAAATCTCGTCACTCGTTTTTGATCTTGTTTAGGAATAATTTTATTTTCAACTTGTCTTGGATCTTGGCCTCTTTTCTTTTTTCTTTTTCTTTTTCTTTTAAATGTTTTTTTACACTGGTGAACATTAGACGTAGTGACACAGAAAAATTGAAAAAGAACCTGTTTCTTGGCAAGGTCGATTAATCAGACAGGCGCGTTTGACTAAGGCGCGTGGAATCTGAGGAGCAACGTAGTTGGTGATCTCATCCTGCATTATTATGCCTGACATAAACCTATGGACTTCTTTCCCCCTCTTTCTTTACCAGTACTAATGACACTGATATACGAACAGAAATGCACGTAGCACATCGGTTTCTGTTCGGCGATCGGTTAAAACAAACAGAAGTACACGCCATTTCAACAAGAATACAGTGACAGTGACTGTGCTGATCCCCGTGTATATAATATAATTTGTTCGTTTTTCCAATCCGTTCTTGCAAAGGCATAAACGCAAAAAGAAATGTTTATATCTCTGTATCAAGAATACCAAAACGAAACGACCAACACTTACGTCAGTGAATTGTCGTTACTGTTCAGGCGACCACATTGTCAAAGACGTCGGATCACTATAACTTCAGGTCTGTACTGACAAGTCGAGACTTTAAACTATCTTACAAAGTGTCGTGAATAACTAGGTAAATGTTTTCTCTGTGGAGAAATTATTGTTAAAAAAAGAAATTATCGATTTGGAAGAGTGGAGACATTTCTGTGTTCGTACCGTCATGCAGGAGAAGAAAGGAATTCGTTAAGTAGCTGATTCCACAAGCAGCATAAATATTTAAGACTGTTGTTGCATCAGCGTTGTTTTATTATTCATTGCGTAAAAACTTGACAGAAATAACGTTTCATCAATTTCACGACGATCTTTTATCTTGGCCGTTTATGTCTGATAATTTGTGATAAACTTCAATGTGTTTTCGTCGACGACTCTCACTTCGTCGGTTTTTATGCTTTTACTTGTAAAGAAACATTTGAAGTAAACAAGTATACAGCTCCTCGAGTATTCTTCCTCTGCTATTGCAAAAGAATATTCCATACGTACATACGTGTTTCTATGTGAACGTAACAGATAAATATCGATTGAAATAGAATCTATTTTATTTCGTTGAAATAATTTATCGAAATAACAAAATAATAATAAAAGTTACAAGACAAGTATCAAGAAAATTACATTTGTATGCGTAGGGAATACCTTAGAAAAAGCGCTGAACAAAATTGGCCGCGAGGATATTGTGAAAAAGTGTATATTCAATGTCGAATTGGTCACCGACGACGTAGAAAAGGCCGTCGCGAGAGTTCGACTGGATCAACCTGGATTCGATTCGTTGAAAGAAGAATTGGGTCCTTCGAGGGACACCTCTCTTCGCCGCGATGCGACGATGGATCCACAGATGAATCCTGATTACGACGATACCAACAAAAACAAGGTTTGTAAACTTTGGCTATTACCACGAGATAACTAATACGTTCGCGCTGACGTCATGACGTATTTTTGTTGAATTTCTTAGGAATCGGGATCTATAGAAGACCTCAATATTAGTGGCACTAAACAAGATACATGTATGTATTTCTTACTGTGTGATTTAAATGATTATAACCTTTGAATTGAACTCTTTCCAATATATATAGTATAAAATATACGATATAAAGTTGAATTGGAATGAAACGTTTAACGCTACACTCATCCGGTGTTAAAATACTATCCTAGAAAGGATATGACATCACTGCTTGCATTATTTCTGTGAACAACACGCCGGCTCTTTCTCCTGTCATTGCTAAGAAAAATATGTGAAATCATAAGTTTCGTTTTACACTTCTTAGAAAGCACATTAACAATACGTCGCTGTATATTTGAAATATCTGTTGGCCTAGAGTCATACTAGCCGCAGTTGCACATTTGTAAATTTATTTCGTTCCAAGAAAAAAAAAAAAAAGATTTAGCGTTATCCTCGAGACACGTATAATTTATTTTTTTACCACTGATTTGCAAATCTCAAAGATCTAACTTACGTGGCTAATAATTTCTTATCGATTCGGGTCGAATGATAACTTAATAACTGGCCGCCCAGCAGTGTTTGTTTCTTCCTTCTGTATAGTTTGCTCTTTACGCTTTGACGAGGCATCCGCCGAATTTACGCCACGGCATTTTAAATCACGTTCTTTTTTTTTTTTCTCTCTTCGCACTTAACAGCGAAACAGCATGTCACAATCACAAACGGCACTGTATTCAGTGGAACCTCGACCCCCATCAAAGATAAATACGCAAGCGAAGAGAAAGAATTAGGGGACGTAATGGCCGATTTTCTCGAGCACAAGTGTCACGTTGCCGACACGATGAGCAAAAAGTTGCGCGACGAACTTGACGACAAAGACAAAAAACGACAGAGGGTGATCGAGGATGCCAACAAGATAGTCTCTGGTAAGTGATTTGAGCATTACTTGAAGGAATGGTGGGTTGAGGGGCCGTGCTTCGATCAGCTAGGAAATAATTAAAACAAAAAAAAAACCAAAAAAAAAAAAAAAAAAAAAAAGAAGAAGGAGAAAAAAGTGAAAAGAAGACACAGAATGGAAGAAAAGAAAACGTTCGCAAAGTGTCTGGAAAGCCTGAATTCTCAGACGCACCACAAGAAGAACGGCAACCAGCAAATTATGAAGGTACCCATGATGATGCCCAACGTCCTGGCAGCCTTGTGCTCTCTCTTCATCTTCATGATGTTCTTGTCTTTGGTGGGCGTGTGCAGGTGATCGGTGCTGATCTCGTTGAGCGTGAGCGTCTTGGACGAACCGGCGCTGTTCAGCTCGCCGTTCAAATTGTTCAGGTCTTTGCTCGGCCTGTGGCTCAGCAGCATCACGTTCCCCATGCGGCTGTGCATCTGCTTCTCCTGCCTGTTCGCCTCTTTGAACACGGCGAAGTACGTGAGGGTCATGATGGTGCACGGTATCCAGAACGAGATGCTCGACGAGAATATCGCGTACACCTTGTTCACCTTGAACTCGCACAGCTCCGGGTGCTCCTGCCGGTACGTGCTGTTCTCCGCGGTGGTGTACCAGCCCATGAAGATCGGCATGAACGAGATGAACGCTGGCATGATCCAACAGGCGAGCAGCATGTACGCGGCCAGCCTCTTGGTCATGATGATGGGATATTTCAGGGGCTTGACGATCGCCCAGTAACGGTCCACCGAGATGCACATCAGATGCAGGATCGAGCTGGTGCTGAAGTACACGTCCAACGAGTTCCACACGTCGCACATAAAGTAGCCGAACAGCCATCTGCCGGTCATCTGCACCGACGCGTTGAACGTCATCGCGAACATCGCTACCAGCATGTCGGCCAGGGCCAGCGAGACCACGAAGTAGTTGGTGATGATACGTAGCTTGCGATGCCGCATCACCGACACCATCACCAGCAGATTGCCGAACACCGCCGTCACGATGATCGATCCCAACACGCAGCCTTTCGCGATCGTCACGGGAACCGACCACCGCTGGTCGCTCGAGTAGCTGCTGTTGGCGAACTGGCCACTGTCCTCGGTCGAGATTGCGTTCAGGATGGTGGTCACGTCCACCGGGGACACCACCGACTCCACCGTCGGCTCGGACCCCGTCACCATGATCGTCGTCATCGCGCTCGAGCCCCCCCTTTGGCCTTGTTCCTCTTCTTCTCGCCGGAAGAGACTCGACGGGCGGCCTTAGGTCACGGACGTGCCAACCAGCCGACGCACCAGGCTAGCCTTCATCTTCCCGGCGTGGTAAGGGCGTTGCCTCTTGCCAAGTTTCTCGTACGCCGGGACGCTTGCCAGCGTTGATCTCTCGCCGTGTCACGGGCCGATTTTCCCGAGTCTCCTTTCTGCGCCGACGAGAGAGAGAGAGAGAGAGAGAGAGAGAGAGAGAGAAAGAGAGAGAGAAAGAGCAGCTCGCCGCTTCCGCAGATTTTCCTTCCTCTCGGTCCTTCTTCCGCCGCTACCTGGAAAAAAGAAAAATACACGTCCAGCTCGGAATTAGTACGTCGACGAAACTCGGAGAGTTTTATTAAATGCAAGTTCGATGAATTACACCGGCGGTAGATTAAACAGCGCGTAGTCTAAACGACGAGACTGATTCTCTGATTCATGGCAGTTTTTTCTTTTCTTTTTTTTTTTTTTTTCGTGGAAATTTTACAGATTTTTCACTTTTACGAATTTTATTCCACTCTTTCTCTCTTCTCTCTCTCTCTCTCTCTCTCTTTCTCTCTCTCTTCTGTCTCCGATTATTCGAGATCTCGTTGATTACTATCGGTTTTTTTCCCCCCCTGCTTTTATAAACATCGCGAATGAAAACCCATCGTTTTGATCTTCTATACGATCCTTTCTTTTTTTCTTTTTTTTCTTTTTTCCCCCACCGAGTTGAATTTTTATAGAGGGGGAAGTTTAATGAAAGCGATGCCCTCGTTTTTCTGGATTTTTATTTCGATCTCCATATCGCGGACGGCGAATCCAACGGACGGTACGGGTATTTTTCACGGGTATTTTAACGCGATATTGAAGGTTCTTGCGGTTCTCGATCGAGGTATTCGAGTACGCGCGAGAGAAAGAGAGGTATCAAGCACGCTAGACGACCCACTTTATTCGATTTGTTTGTACTACTTGCTTAATCTACTCAATCCATTACAATCGTTCAGACTTATTCAATTTATTCAGTCGGCACGGCACTGGTACCGCGCGATAGCGGATTTACTCGCTCCAAGTTCCCTCTGTTCTCGGCGACGACGAGTTCGATGAAAATTGCCCGCGCCGGCCCGAATATTTTCACGGAGCCGTTTCACAGAGTCGTCGTTATTTAGAATTTTAAATACGCATCGGACACATATTCGGCGTCGTTCGATCCGATTTTAACATCATCGAGGATCGAATACGAATACGAATTAATACTACCGCAGGGATGTTGTATGTCGAATCATCGTCGCCCCGTTTAATCCATCGCCTTTACGTTCTAAATTCTAAATGTCTTTTCTCTCTTTTTCTTTTTGTTATTCGAAAAGTGAATTTTTGCAAAAAGTGGAGGAAAGAATTTTTGACAAATTTGTTACAAAGTTGAGTATTGACATCTTAATAACGCGTTTATCCTATCTTGGAGCGTATTTTACCGATTGTCTGTTAAAATTGACGAAACTCGGTAAGAAGGCTGTAAAATTTGTTATCGAAATAAATATTATTTAAGTATTATTAGTATTATCGTGACAATTATTCTAAATGTAGTATCGTAATTTATATAATAAATTGTTATTATTTAATAATAATAAATTATTATTATTATAGTAATATGCAAATAAACAACAATACTGAAAACATTCGGAACAAAATGGTCTTACTTAGAAATTAATCTTGGCATCGTTTGGAAAATCATCTGTAAAAGTAATACCTTCAAATGAAATTCGTTGCTTTATTCTGTAATACATTCTTAAACCCTAGACACATTTCTTGATAATTATAATTTTTGCGCCATAAAAATTCTAAGATACAGAAGCAAGACTACCGGCAGGGAACGTGTTAAAAGTCGATTAACTTCAAGGTCTAGGCAAGCTTTCAGAGAACGTGACATCCACGAAAGAGAGAAAAATTTGCAGAAAGGACAGCTGAGTATCTAAGAAAGAAAATTACTGAGAAACTGTTAAAAAAAAAAAAAAAAAAAAAAAAAAAAAAAAAAAAAAAAAAAAAAAAAAGAAAGAAAGAAAATAATAAAACGAAATGGATCGCCTGTGAGCTGCTCGTATCGCGCAGATGTTTCGTTCAAAGAGATGCAAAAAAAAAAAAAAGAAGTTCACTCAGAGTCAATGACTAATAATTCTCGAGTTGCCCCAATTTTAGGAAATCAAATTGGTAACCCCCCTAAATTCTAATCGAGACGAATCGAGACACCGATTGTCTGGAATTGCCAAACCGCGAATTTCCAGAATTGTCTGGTCGACTAACCATCTCGAGGCAGATTGTTAATTAGCGAAAGATGATCGAAGTTGGATCGCTCAGAGGGTTGATAATTCGTCTCTGAAAACAGCGACGAAGATCCACACGTATGTGTGTGTGTGTGTATGTGTGTGTGTGAATCACCGAGGCTGCTGAGAACCTTGAGAAGGCGATCGATAAAGAATCAACAACCATTTCCCCGATTTTCCCCTCTGGCTGGCGCGCGGCGCTAGTTTCCCGATTGTCACCACTCGAAACGAGGACGCGCCGGAAGAATGAGTAACCTTGAATGGAACCCTCTTTTTCTGCCGGCGTCGTCTGCCGTCGTCCGGGGGCTTCGTTGACCGTGTCGCGACACACAGGGCCGTGTCAAGTGCACTCCCCGTTGCCGTCCGTGTAATTTATGATCCGCTATTTTTGCGGTACATTTGGGTCAATTATTCCAACGGCGGCCGCGCGACGAAAAACAGCTCTCTCTCTCACTCTCTCTCTCTCTCTCTTCCGGCCTCTTTCGAGACAGACGATTCAAGAGGATCCGCGATCAACAGCTTCGATTACGACGGCTCTGACCTTCGACGTTTACTGGCCGTCTCGATTTCACGTTTCACGCGAGTTTCACGCTAGCTTCACAACTGGAGGAGCAATGGATCCGCTCGAGCAAAGGGGGAGTACATGTACATTATAGTGACACGATGTGGATAGGGATGAATCGAGGGTTCCAATGGCGTACACCTCGGTGACTCCCGTTAACCCATTTGCATCATTAGCGCAATTTTTCTGACCAGAGCGTATATATGTATGTATATTGTATATGTGTGTGTGTGTGTGTGTGTATATACGCTCAGTTTTCGTGATGATTCATTAGCAGAACATTTTCCAGTCATTATTACCAAAACGCAAATTGCATTCTTGCAGATGACGTTGTGAGCCTGTCGTTGTTCCAATAATATACACATGTACGTATATAATTGATGATAGGAGCATTTTAGATTAGATTATTATTAATTATCTCTCATGAACTACCTAAAAATCTCCATCCGGAGACATTAGAGTAAAAGAAATAGAAAATGTTTATACATGAAATAAAATGAAAGAGTCAGGTTAAGATATTTAAATAGATAAGAATAGTTAAGATAAATGTATGTATAGAGTGGAATAAAGTAGGTTACAAATGTATTGCACGTAGAATTTTATGATAAATGCAATGTGAAAACGCGCAATGTTAAGAGAAACCAATGTAAAAAAAAAAGTCAATTTCAAGGCCAAAGAGGCTGAAAATAAATATATACATACATAGAAAATCTTTATAATACAATTGGGGTACACGAGCTTTCATTTATGTATTTTATGAAGAATCATTCAAGTCTCAAAGTAGTACGAAGAATTAAATCTCTGAACGTACACTGTTTCATATGAAATATCTAAACAAAAATTACCAATTGATTATTTCGACCATGTGTTAATATTCCTTCGAAATATTTCAACCATATTGTAACATCGTACAACAATAAACTTCGGTTCATTTTAAGTCTTTATTTTCAAAATGCATCATCGTTCACTTTACTCTCGAGATGCTTTCGCATGGCGCCGTTGACGGGTAGGAAAGTAAATACGCTCCTCCTCTCGAAAATATTATAAATTGTCACGCACACATGCACACACACACATAGTGTGTAAAAACATTTGGAAATTCTTCTCGCGACTGAACGTGTTTGAAAGTTGAAGCTTCTCCTTCTGAAATTCTCTGTACCATTTGTTACCATTCAAAGTTCAATAAATTGCCCTCCAAAAAAAAAAAGAAAAAATTGTGCAGCAAATTTTGAGAAAGCTTCAGCCATCAAACCCACATTTCTTCAACGTTTCGTACTTTCGAGAAGGAAACTACTTTGTCGTCTACTGTTACGTGCTGTAGAAATATCTCAGAACAAAATGAGCTACTATATGTTAGTAGGGAGCGTCGAGCTTTGAAACGAGCCCAAGTTTATCACCTCGTACGATTCCTCTTCACGAAATTACAACAGTCACGATATTTGATGTCATTTCGAGTCATGTACACGGACAGTAGGAAAGAAACATGGAATAAAGTTCCATCCATGTTCTCTGTTTTATTCGTTAACTTGCGCTGCTTTTCAGTTAGTCGGAAGACCTCACGTTTACGTAACGTGAAATACTCTGTTGTTTATCATGTTACGCTGTTACATTGGTCGTTTGGAATTTATGCGTGTGGACACACTTGCCAGGCATTTTGCGTCATTCCTTTTTATTCGCTTGATCCGCGATGATGTCGGAGCGGAATTAGAACTTTACATTAATAGAACGTATTATTAACGGAATATTACCGTATTAATAGGCACATAAATGTCGCCAGGGGCACGATAAATAATATCGGCAGATGCTTTCACGTATTACGTATCGTCATATAAGATATTCACAGTGGAACATCTTATATCTCGCTGCGAACAATGTTCCGTAACGACAGTTGGCGATCGTTCAAATTGAAGTGTTATATATATCGATTCTTTGTCTGAGTTGATCCATTTACTGATTCCCCCCCCCCCCCTTTGTTTTTTTTTGAATTGTTTCCACGTAACGAAATCCCTTGGAAATTTTAATATTCGAAACTGAACCTCTGAACCAAAATCGGACGTTCGTACTCCGATTGTTTCCATTCGCAACACTCGAAAATCAAAGTGGCCTTTTCATCAAAAAGTGTCCACGTTCGAACGTTCGAAAATTGAACGATAACATTTCTCCGGATATTGTCTGCTCCTCAAACTAGACTCCTGTCCTCGGCGTAATCTACAGAAACGAAACTGGAGAAACAGAGTGTCGCTCGAGTGGCCATTTATCTTCTCCAAGACGTGCCATCAGGCCACCCTGTACTCCCCGAGAAGTCTCTTTCCCTCTCTCTCTCTCTCTCTCCCTCTTTCTCTATCTATCTATCTATCTATCTTCCGGCGGTCCAAGAAATAATGCTGTCAGCCATTCTAATACGGTGACCGTAATACGTGCCACCTGGGGCGACATTGGAGAACGCGACCTTGACGAGACGCGGCTCGGCGAAAACGAAGCTCGAGGGTGCCATCTTTCTTCGCGTCTGGTACTCGAGGACGATCATAACCCTCGTTTAGAGCGATTGAAAGACCGTCGAGCTAAGATTAGACGGTGAAACGGCGCTGGGTCTAGGCTACGTTTCATCCTGCGCACACCGGTCGATGATTTTTACGAAAAAAATTCTGAATTACACTTTTAGAAGGCTAGTCAGGCTGAATTTATTTTTAACGCTAGTTTAGTAAGTTTAGTAAGCTCTACGTAGTGTTTTTGATGTTGTTTCCAATCGTTTTCATTCGATTGATATCTCCTTTCAATTTTCGATCGGTTCACGCTCGTTCTTTGTTTTAATTTGATTTTCACCTTTCGCAAATGGGGAATCAATTTCACCCTAAATGACGAGCGAAACATTTGAACGTTTGTCTGAATCTAAACGTTTGTATTTTTTTTTTGTCAAAATCTTTTTAAGTCAAAATCTCTTAATGCGTTTTGAATACCTAAATATCTAATTAAACAAGATACTACAAGATATTGCAAAATTATAGCAACATTTCTGATATATAACGGATCATTCCAGAATCTGTAAATTTAAAATAATTATACCTAATCAAACAAGGTACTACAAGATATTGCAAAATCATAGCAACATTTCTGATATATAACGGATCATTCCAGAAACTGTAATTTAAAATAATTATACTTAATCAAACAAGATACTACAAAAACAAAATATTACAAAATTATAGCAACATTTCTGATATATAATGGATCATTCCAGAATCTGTAATTTAAAACAATTGTACTTAATCAAACAAGATGCTACAAGATATTGCAAAATTATAGCAACATTTCTGATATAAAACGAGTCATTCCAGAAACTGGAATATAACTATAATTTAAAACAATTATATTTGATCAAACAAGATACTACAAGATATTGCAAAATTATAGCAACATTTCTGATATATAACGGATCATTCCAGAATCTGTAAATTTAAAATAATTATACCTAATCAAACAAGGTACTACAAGATATTACAAAACTATAGGAACATTTCTGATATATAACGGGTCATTCCAGAAACTGTAATTTAAAACAATTATACTTGATCAAACAAGATACTACAAGATATTGCAAAACTATAGCAACATTTCTGATATATAACGGATCATTCCAGAATCTGTAATTTAAAACAATTGTACTTAATTATACTTAATCAAACAAGATACTACAAGATATTGTAAAATTATAGCAACATCTCTGATATATAACGGATCATTCCAGAATCTGTAATTTAAAACAATTATACTTAACCAAATAAAAGGTATTGCAAAACTATAGTAACATTTCTGATATATAACGGATCATTCCAGAATCTATAGTTTAATACAATTGTACTTGTACGAAAAATTTATTCTACATACAGAGTAGGATTAAAACCGATAAAACAAGAGGAAATAGAGTGCACGTCCACGCGTTCTGTCGTAATATTTCTCCAATTGATCTGCCATTGGTTTCGATTCCAGTGACGGGGCGATAAACCGCTAACGTGAACGAACGACCGAAACGAAAAGGGAGAGAGAGAGAGAAAGAGAGACAGATCGCTGGCTTGAGCAGGAAAAATTTGATAATGTCACTCCGCGGGAATAGCGGTGATCGATGCCAATTTATCTTCCGGTTAAAACGCGATTCATTGCCGCAATTGCAACGATGCAACGTCCGCAACACGTGATCCGTTTGCTCTATTTCGCGCGGCGGGCTACTCGATTTTCTCGAAACGTGGCCAACCATGTAGCCGCTGTACAGTAAAATCCGATTCGTGCCTCGAATTCCAGCTCGCGCTTCCTTCAGAAACAACCCGGAACAATCACCTCGTTCACCTTAAACGCGGTCGCCCCGGTTTGTGAAATTCCTGTTCTATAAAAATTCGAGAAAATTTCTCACCGTGTCGACTTTTGCAACCAGCGTGGGCAAATTCGTCGGGTCAGGTCGAAGCTTTGAGGGTAGAAAGTTTTCGAAATTGAAGTTCAAATGTTGCGGGAGATCAAACAGCGCTGTGAGCACGAAGAAATGGAACACGCGAATTTCTTGTCGGGTAAAGTAATTGCAATTCGTTATACTCGTGGGAAATGAAACGCGTTTAGCAAAATTTTAGACAGTTTAGAATATATTTTGGGGCTAGTTCTTCTCACATCGTTTCTAATTATTCCTCTGCTGTTAACGTTAATTATTATTTATGTAACAATTAAAAATTACTGATTTAGGGAAAAGAGAAACAGTGTCATTTCGAGTGCGCGTACTCGAAGCTCGACGCGCACTTTTCAAAACGGCACAGCTGTTTCACACAATCGTCAGATCATCAAATTTCAAACAGTAACAAAATTGAGAAAAATGCTCGAACATTCATACCGCATAATATAAATATCCCTGTTCGACACGTGATTGTCACGCGCGTGTATATTTTCAGACTCTTGCGAGCAAGGATGATACAACGCCTCTCCGTTTCACTTTGTTCGATTCGCGCGAAGTCTATGCAACGTGCTTATGACACGAAAATCGGCGATGTGTCTACGATCTAAATTTATTTGACAAAGCACGTACGCCGACGCGATAAATTCGCCGTGTCCAACACGCGGCGCCATCGTATTTATTCGAATCTCGCTGCAACACGCAGACTTGTGCCGAGTCACGGCATTCGTTTGTTAAAAACAAAAATGATCGTCCTTCAGCCACGTGTCCGTGCAACCCCTTTTCATTTCCCGTCTTACATCAACCGGCCTGATCCAAGATTCGAAGAAAGTTCGCCGTCCCTTGGGCATTTGGAAAATTTAACGTCACTCAATTCTGAAACTTTCGACTTGGTCCGTGTCGTCGTTATTTTCATGTCGACCGGAGAACGAGGAGGAACAATTCACGTTAAAAATCGGTGATTGGTTCGTCATTATGATATGATATAGAAATGTGTTATAATAATGTAAATATAAAAATTTTATAATA